TGCTATACAAATAAAGATGAATTGAATTGAATATTAATAAGCAACTAAATAGTAGTTTAGTGAGGTAATACCCTTAGTTAACAGTTTGTTTATAGCGTGAAATGTACATTGAAACAAAGTGTGAGCCCATTTCCAAATGTACACATATGTTTGCTATGATGCCATTGTATGTATGCATTGCTGTTTTAATGTATTTTTGTTTACATTAGATAAGAGTGTTCAGTATCTGACCCATTCATAGTATGGTTACTAGGGTAAATTTGTGTAAGAGATTATACAAAGGGTTCGCAGAAGGTTTAAACACACACACCTGCATTGAATGAGTAGCCTAAAATAGAGATAAAAGGAAGTGTTTTCACAGCCACATCTCTTTATTTTCTATTCATTGCAAAGCCTTGAATTAAAATCTATTTCATCTGCCCAGGAGCTGCCGGAAAGGAATGCAAAGCACATTCCTCAAGATTATTAAAGCAGATTTTCAGTGTAACGACTGAACATCAACAATCGGTCAATATAATCCAGCGGAAAAGAGTTTTAAAACTCTTGCACTGGCATTACCGAAAAACCTCTTTTCATGTTAAACTGACCTAAAAAGTCTGGAAAATGATTCATGCGTCTCTAAGCCAAGAGTGAGCCTCTAAATCTTCTCTGATCAAAGATAATTACAAAGCGGCTCTGGACAGCCTATTTTTGGTTAAACAGGTTGACTCAAACAGCTGTGTTTATCTTCACACATGTAAAATGTTTCTCAGAGAAAAAGTAAAGACGTATCGTGTGGTATATGACATGAATGCTGTTCCAAAAGCGTGCCTGCTGTAAATTCTTCAGAGATTAGGTCATGATGAGAGAACAGCTACGCCACTGTACCTATGCACGTGTGCGATTCGTTGACAGAAAACGAAAACTAATCTAAACTTTTCCCAAACCCCAACTTTTAAATCAGTGGTGCTGTATTGCCCCTTTATTATTTATTCATTTTCCTTCAGCTTTGTCCCTTATTTCATACCTGTCAACATTGGTATGTGAAAATAAGGGATATGCCCAACATAATAAGAGATTCCCTTGACCCCCCTTTAAAAAATCCCCAGATTACTAAATATGCTCACTTGGAACTGTTTCATTGTAAATGAACAGTTAAATGGTCAGTAATAAATATTATTATTATTATTATTGTTATTATTATTATTTACAAAAGAAAAAATAAATAGTATACATCAGCAGCAAATAAATTAGCAAACAGTTCAACTTATTAAAATTAATAGCTATTATAATGAAATAGAATCAAATCTCATTAGCCGTTTCTTCACTGTATAACCTACACATTCTGATTAAAGAGCAACAAATGAATTATTTATTTAGATTTGTTTTCGTTTGATTACATTAAATAACAGGTCTCACTTTAAAAATGCACACATCTAACATTGAAATGAAAGCATTCGACTGCTTTCCTAACTGTTTATGCTCATTTAGGACGAAATTACTTGTGTTTGAAAAAAAAAAAACTCACTAAGATCAACATCTTTAGATATTAATAATTATGTGTATATGTCTGTTTAAACAAGCACCCAAAACCCAGACTTTTGCTCTGCTTCTAATCAAGAGTACAGAATCCATTTGGGAAACAGCGTCTGTTTATCAATATGGAGCACGTCAGCTGACAGTCATGCACCTCTATATGACTGTTTTGAGGATTGCATATGAACGGGAGACGACACTTGTAATGAAAAGGAAAGGAATCATGCCGTTTTTATGTTTATTTCAAAGTGTTTTCCTGCCTAAACAAAGCGAAAGCACAGTACAAACTCAGATTTAAGAGCAAGGGGCGGCCACTTGCGGTTTATTCGCCACCCTCCAGAGAAAGACTGAAAATACGGGAAAAATACGGAAAATACCTTTACGGGATCATAGCGGGATAGAACTGTTGAATACGAGAGAATCCTGGGAAAAACGGGAGGTTTGACAGGTATGCCGTATTTATCAATGGTCGCCACAGCAGAATGCACAGCCAACTATTCTGGCGCATGTGACGCCGCGTTGTTGCCAACTGTAATTAAAACAAGTGGAAGAAGATAATAAAATGTGCTGCAAGGAAACTTTTGTTTTCAATTTCCTGCCATGAGAGCGCAGCTGGACTCACGTGTGGACTACAGTGGTCTTATAACACGTGACAGAAATATGTTTGTACGGAACATTTTTTTTATTTGAAAGCTTTTCGCATCCGGAAATGGTAAAATTCGGATTTGCCGATAGCCTTCTGTTAAAAAACACGCGACTCCAGTTGGTGTTGATTGTTCTGTCTCTATAGATTTGGTAAGTGTGCGATCAGTGGTCTTTGCTTGTTAATTAAGATGGCAGAGGTAGTTTCTGTTGTCAGCATTACTCTTTCAGTTTTTTAAGACATAACCAAGTCAAAATGATTTAGTTACTAAGTTTACAGTATGTTAATATCACTACAATATTATGTACTGAAAGATCCAATATAAATGCTACTCTACGAGTAAACATGTAAACACCTTAAAGAACTACCATTGTGTACAATTTTTGCCGCATTTTGTGATAGGATAGTCTATACATGGATGGCTTTCTGATGCTATTTACCAAGTGCATCTAAGTTATCGAGACATGCGGAGGGTTTTGTTCTTCCATTCGCCATGCGGTATCAAACATTCCATTAAAACTACACTCTTCCAGCAGTTCCTCGCATCCAATATCTCATTTGTCCTGGGGGACACCAATGAAATGTTCCTGAATTAAAGTGAAAGGGCTGAACTGCGGTTAAAAATGACAAATTAAGAAGTTGGCAAATAGTTTGATTACTGATGTCCATGTAAACATAGTTACTGTCTTTCTCCCCTGCATCTGTGTTTGTTTTGCCTCTGTGAAAATCAACGCATGCTCGAACCTAAAACTCCCATTTTAATGCAAACCTGTAACCAGGGATGTGACACTGACAACAGTGGTGCGGATCCACATGCAGGATTATTAGAATGGTCAGGCAAGCAGTGGTCAATACAGGAGCAAACAGATGTATAAGTGCAATCCAGAGTCGTAGTCAAAAGGCAGGCAAATGGTCAGAGACAGGCAGCAAACAGGATTAAACAAATAAACAAGGCAAGGATCAAAAACACAGTAAAGCAAGACAAAGGAAAACGCATAGTAATGTCACATAACAGAAAACAAGACTCAGCACCAGTGAGTGTTTCTGTGCTGTTCATGTAGTGCAGTAATCAGTCCGGAAGCAGCATCAGCTGTGGGAGTCTAATCAGTGGAGACTTGGAACAAGTGTGTGTGTGTGTGTGTGTGTGTGTGTGTGTGTGTGTGTGTGTGTGTGTGTGTGGCATGACTGAATATGTAAACCATAAATGGCTGATTTGTAGTCCTTAAGTGATCTGCAGCCTCTAGATTGCCGGTGATCATGACAAAACCCTTCCCTCTTTCATTCCCTCCTCCAACACTCCCACCTATACAGAGCTGGACTCATCCAATTTCCTCACTTTCTCAAACTAGAGGTGTGAAAACACACTGCTGAGACGGAGGTTTCATGGCCCATAAATAATAATAATAATAATAATAATAATAATAATTATTATTATTATTATTAGTATTATTATTAAAGTTATTAGCCCTCCAGCAGTATTGTTACACCCTTAATATATATATATATATATTAATATATATTATAGTATCTAAAGGGTGTAACAATACAGGTATTCGTATTGAACAGTTCGGTATGAGACTTTTGGTTCGGTACGCATCACGAACTGAATGATTCGTTTCAGACTACCATCTAAATAGATAATAGAGAATAAGTACAAAATTTTATGTTTTCAGTGCAACAACGCTCAACATGGCATCCCAAATGACGTGGCAGAAAACATGCTGCCTTTCCTGCTGTCATGTTAAACAGTAGACCATCGCTTTTGAACTCAGAATATCACTTTATTAAAGAATGCACTCATTAGCAATCTTGCTGCCTCCTGTGTCAGCCTGCTCGTGCTGGCTCCGCCCACGTTGCTCCAGCAACCCTGGACCCCCACACAAAACAGCCAATCTCAATAACCTGTTCACATATCACCACACCCGCCCACCTCCAAACACAAGTCCAGTCAGGTACGCGCTACACTAGCTCGCAAACTGGCTAGTAACGTTAATATAATCCCAGATATCCCAAGTCTCCCGGAAGTTTCGGGAGACGCTTGGATGCATGCAAACGAATAATAATCTTAATCTTTTTTTCTTTTTTAGCGCTGTATCGAAAGCATACCGAACCGTGACACCACTGTGTCGTATAGAACGATTTTTGTGATTTTTGTGAACCATTACACCCCTACTATATATATATATATATATATATATATAGTAGGGGTGTAACGGTTCACAAAAATCACGGTTCGGTTCTATACGACACAGTGGTGTCACGGTTCGGTATGCTTTATATGCTATATATATATATATATATATATATATATATATATATATATATATATATATATATATATATATATATATGCAATGCTTTTATGTTTAATATTATTAGCTCCTTAAAAAAAAAAAAATTCCCTGTTGGCTGCAGACCAAACCAATGTTGTCTAATGACTTGACTAATTAACCTAATTTGCGTAGTTCACCTAATTAAATCCTTTAAATTGCACTTTAAACTTAATAGTAGTACCTTGCAAAATAACTAGTAAAACATCATGCACTGTCATCGTGCCAGAAAACAAAGAAATTAGTTTGTTCTGTTTAAAAATGTCTTGGAAGAATCTTCTCTCAGTTGTTCATTATTTGATCCAAAAATTGTAACAAACTCCAGTCAGTTGCTTTACATGTCAGTCAGACAATCTCCATCTGCCTAACTGGACAGCTCTTGGGCAGAATAAACTTCAATGAGAACCAGACACACTGCAAGCCAATATTTCAAATGGAAATCTGCCAGGCTACAAAACAAGCCTAACAAATACCAGGTGAAGTGTGTCGAACAGAATGACGTCCACACTTACAGGCTGGCCTCAGGTGGGTTCGCGCTGTCCTGAGGGGATCCAGCAGATCCAGACAGGCTGTGCTGATTTCGGAAAGCCTCCCGGGCCCGACGGCGCCTTTCTCTCTCAATCTCCTCAGCATCTTCGATACTTCGCTGAGCCGTTACTCTGCAGGAATAGAATGAGACCCGTGTTACACCACAAGACAACCATTTTTCTTTCTTGACCCATGTGGAATGATGAATGACCCTTAGCCCAGAGGAGAGCAGTTGACTATGATGCATGGAGCTCTTAAAGAAATCTCTTGCAATGCTTTGTTTAGTCCCTTGCTTGAGATTTGGAGCCGGCATAACATCTGCTCTGGCATTCGACACCGCAAGTTCTCAACCAAAAGAGGCTGGATACAATGCACATTCTGTGTTTATCTAGCCTGTTTACAGAACAAACACACTCTTTATCCTACACTGAAAAAAGATTAATTGGATTTACTTTTTTTATGTAAGTGGTTGCAAACAATTTGCATTATTATAATTATATTTATAATTTATATTTGTAATTATATAATTTAAAATCAGCCCATATAAATCGTTTGCACCCATACAAAAAAGAATTTCAGTTACCAGCTAAAATTTGATTAGGATAGTAATTTTAGGACAAATGTTGCCATAGTATGGTGACCAGATTTCTAGTTCAATGGTCAAGATAGCATTGAAATCTCACTCTCTTCCAAAAATAAGTATTCTATGGTATTTTTACTCCTTTTTTTTTACCTGTGAAACACAAAGGAGACGTCTTAAAACAATACCAGTGGCAGGTTGCAGTCAGTGAGTGAAAGATGTGATATATTAAGCTGTATTTTGGTGTTCATGTCAAATAAAGTACATTTGTACACAAATAAGTCATATTTCTTGTTGGCTTAGTCTCTTTATTAATCCAGGGTCACCACAGCGGAATGAACCACCAACTTATCCAGCAAGTTTTTATGCAGCGGATGCCATTCCAGCCGCAACCCATCTCTGGGAAACATCCACACACACTCATACATTACGGACAATTTAGCCTACCCAATTCACCTGTACCGGGAAACCGGAGCACCCGGAGGAAACCCACGCGAAGGCAGGGAGAACATGCAAACTCCACACAGAAACGCCAACTGAGCTGAGGTTCAAACCAGCGACCCAGTGACCTTCTTGCTGTGAGGCGACAGCACTACCTACTGCGCCACTGCCTCGCCAAAATAAGGCATATTAAATCTTAAAAAAAAGTGTTTATATTTTAAAAACCCTTTGTTTAAAAGAATGAATATGGATTAAATAATGATCAATTGACATTCAGTGTATGATCGTGTAAATTGATTAAAATGTATTTTATCATTTATTTTACAAACAAATGAGTAAAATAGTGATTTGAAACAAGGCAGCAAAGTATTATGGCTTAAAATTATAATTAATTGTTATTTTGGGGTTGCACCATGTTCCATAAAATAAGTCATTAAGGGCTCTATTTTAATGATCTAGGTGCAAAGTCTAAAGCGCATGGCACGAAAGCATTCAGAGCATGTCCGAATCCACTTTTTAAAGATGGAAAATACTGTTTGCCCCGTGGCGCATGGTCTAAAAGGGTTGTGCTCACTCTCCTTTTGAGTTATGGGTGTGTTTTAAGCATAACCTGCATTAAACCAATCAGAGTCTCGTCTCACATTCCCTTTACGAGTCAGTTGCGCCAAGTCATGGCGCATTTACATGGTGGACTTTGTAAGTAACTAAGGGTTTCAACAGCGAGAAGATAGTTAAACAGACATTCTGCAGCGCGAGGGTAAAGAACAAGCCTCCTCAAATCGGCCTCTTTACTTTCTCTTTACTTTCACGCATTAATTTACTCTTTTACTTTAATGGATAAGCAAACAGTGTTGTACGCACTCCACTGAAGACATTTAATTTCATTTGTTAAGATTTGCTTCAAAACTATTTCTAAATTCAGTTCTAATTTTCAACAAACGAATAAATGAACAATAACAATGAAGTGTGGTCAAAAAACTGATTTATATCTGAACACACGTCCTATTCTTATGCCCCATAAGGTAATGCATACGTCAGGTGGACAAATCTAAATTTGTTAATATTAAAACAAATATAAATAAATATAAATATGCACATAATAAATAATACTGCTGATAATAATAACATTACACAAATGCAAACTGTCATGAATAAACTGAAAAAAGCCTTTTAGGCAGTGGTTTTTATATTTATGTTGAAAATTATATATATATATTTTTACATTTTCATCCTTTAATTTTTCATATGTAAAGATATTTGGGTATTGCTGTACATCCTGTGTGTATTAAGCAATGTGTAAGCATTTAAACCTACATAGGCGCATAACTGATATTTTAGTTCAATGGTCAAGGGTGCAGTCTATTTCAGTTCCTCAAAATAGCAACGTGCCAACAATGCGCCTTAACACCTCTTTTAAAGACCAGTACACCCATGAGTCCACAAAGTAGCGCAAATGGATTTACTATTTAAACAACGTGGCGCAAAATGTGCGCTGGTCTGAAAATAGAAATAAATTGCACTATTCACATCTTGCGCCGGGTGCACTGTATGATAGGGCCCTTAATGTCATCAAATGTTTCTGGTTCTATACATCCGATGAAATTCATGGGTATTTTTATAGAAGTCATTATTTAATCAGTTAGTCACATGGTTTCCGCTACATTCATACAGCTTTTCATTCAAAACATTCAGTCGTTTTTTTTTTTTTTTAATAGCTGGTGATAATCACACCAAAACTTATTAAAAGGTAAGTGAATTAAAACAGTGTCAATTTTTCTGTAACCGTAGTAGTGGTGTGCGTCACTTGTTTAACCCTTTAAGGTTACGTGCTTACTGACTGACTGACTGACAGGTGCATGATGCGTGAGGCCAGCAAACACAACGTATAGCCGTTTCACTCTACTTCAGGACACATTAATGCAACTCTGTAGGTCTAATGGAGACATTCATAAATATTCCTAGCAAACCTAATGAATGTTGGAGACATACTTGTTACATAAACACACTAAATCATAGTTCAGCAACATTTATTTGAGAGCGCACAAGAAGATCTGCGCTTGAGTAGCGTATATTTCAGCGGGCGTGCAAGAAGTGTTGAGCACAAACAGAGGATATCGGCGCGCAAGCAAAGAGAATTGCATGCTCATAGGCTATTACATAAATGCGATTGACTTGTAATACTGCCCTCACGACATTTGTCATTGAAATAACAGTAGTCAGAAATAAAAATAAATCAAATTTAAGCTGTTTAAGAATTTGTTTTAATGCTTGTAAACACCTTTTCACCTTTGACCCCTTTACAATGGAGATCAATGGCTCAGTGTTGTTAATCTCCAAAGAAAATCTTCAAAAAATCTTCTTTTGTGTTCTGTGGAGGAAAGAGCATCACATGTCTGGAAGGACATGAGGTTGAGTAAATACTATTTGGGTGAAGAATTAAGGGTGAACACAGGTCACCAATGACCCTCGCAAGAATTTCAGGCCAGATTAGAGCTGAGGTCACAGGCTGCTGCAATGGCTTTACGACTAGCCATAAAACCATATTGACAGATGAATATTGCCTTAAAGCGGTCCTATTAAGCTTTGTCACTTTTTCATTGTTAGGGTGTAGTGTGTGAATGTTTAGGAATAGAAAAGATCTACAAAAAAAGTCTTCTCTAATCTGAGAATAGATATATTATATTATATATTATAATATATATTATATATTAGAATATTTTAATCTCTTTTTTAAAACCACAATTAATGGCTCATTTGGACTACCAAGAGATGTTTTCCAGGCCTAATGATGTCAGAAAGTGGCATGGCTATGCCTATGGAAATTTGAATGTATGTGGGGTTGAGAGGGTCAAAATGACAGTAACATTCTACCAATCTGATACGTCCTGGTATATCTGTGTGTGCAAACAGATTGCGCAACCCCTTGTTCAATATTATCGGCTCATATTGATTATATTGTGAAATATCTGATATTCCAATTCTCAGATGTGTGTAAGAACATGTATTTTGCAGTTCAATCATTTTAATAATGATAACAGTAGTTTTATCTATGACAGCTGATGGATGTCACTGTGATAGTATGTGCTGCACTGGAGAGATTACAGCTGCTGGATTAACATCTTTTGAATTCATCAACTTCTCCCAAAACACGTGAAAGCTAGTGGCTGAGTAACTGGGATAAGAATAAAGTAAATGCACTGTAAAAAACAAAACAAAAAAAAAAAACAGTAATTTTACGGTTTCCGGCAGCTAGGGTGTTGAAAAAAAAAAAAAAAAGTAAAATAGCGTCTGTTAAATTACAGAAATATACCGTAAAAAAAAAGATATTAAAATACAAAAATTTACCAGAAATTTAAATTTGAGGAAATTTCTGTTTTGCCGCAGCGCATGGTCTAACAGTTGTACTTATTCTCTTAATGAGTTAAGGATGTGTTTTGAGCATAACCTGCATTAAACCATTTAGAGTCTTATCTCCCATTCCTTTCCGTGGTGCATTTGCTATTTACATGGCAAACTTGGTATATGAAAAAAACTGAACGCTTTACTAGCTAGAAAACAGTTAAACAGATTATGTGCAGTGCGAGAATAAAGAATGAGCCTTCCACATTCGGCCTCTTTACTTTACTTTTACACTTCACTCCTTTACTTTTGTGAATAAGGAAAGGGTGTTGTACGCACTTCACTGAAGACATCCATACATATTTAATTTTGCTTGTGAAGCGCAAAGATTTGTTTCAAAACTATAACTATAACTATAGTTCTAATTTCCAGCAAACGAATAAATTAACAATAATAATAAAATGCAATATATCCAAACACAATCATCACAATAATCACTCTAAAAAACGCCGCAAATGGATTTGTTATTTAAACAATGTGGCGCAAAATGTAAAAATTACAGCATTGCTGGTCTGAAAACACATCTTGCGCCTTATTGCGCCGGGTCAATGCAATCTCACGGCAATTCGTAACTTTTTAATTTAGTGGCTAATTCGTATGAATTTGTACGATCAAATTCGTACAATTTAGTACCATTTACTCATCACCTCATGATGGTTTGGAGTGTAGTTGGGTGCCATGCCCCCTTTTTATAATTATAGGAATTAGCCA